TCCAGGCTACCATCTTCCACATCCATACACGACACCGGCGGGGTATCACTATCAGCAAACGCGCACACCGCCAGCTAGTTACCACCATCGACATGCACCCACAACGCCAGCAAGTTATCACCATAGACATGTGCCCACAACACTAGCGAGTTACCACTATCCGAAACCACCCACAACACCAGCGAGTTACCATCAACCGCATCCACCCACGACGCCAGCCAACTATCACTACCAGCATACACCCAAACCCCAACGAGCTACTACCACACGCATCCACACCCAATACCATACAACTACCACTATCCCTGCCTCACACCGGACGGCCGCGGTACCCCTCCAGCCCCGTCCCAGCATTGTTCCGGCATCCGCCTGCCCGCACCTACGCTGTACACGGCACGTCTGCGCCCCAGGCGCAGACCTCGGTGACCTCCGAGGCGAGCCCAGTTGGCATCAGCGACGGCAACCCGCCCATGGAGGCGCCTCCGTCACTGCCCACTGGCGACGCGGCGCCCCCGGCGGCCGGGCAGGTCGAGACGGCAGCCGGGCAGGCAGACACGGCGGCCGGGCAGACGGAGACGGCGGCCGGGCAGGCGGAGACGGCCACCAGGCGAAAACGGCACCACGCCTGACGCCGCCGCGTGGGTGCCGGGCGCCGCCCGACTGGGTGTGGTGGGGCTGTCTGGGACCCGCGTCACGTGTCCCGTTGCGGGTTTGTAGACTGGGCAGTCTATGTGCCGAGGCTGAGCTTGCCTGAGCTCCGTGTGAGCTCCGAGGCTGAGGAGTCTACCTGAGCTCCGTGTGAACTCCGAGGCTGAAGAGTTTACCTGAGCTCCGTGTGAGCTCCGAGGCTGAGGAGTTTACCTGAGCTCCGTGTGAGCTACGAGGCTGAGGAGTTTACCTGAGCTCCGTGTGAGCTCCGAGGCTGAGTTTACCTGAACTCCGTATGAGCTCCGAGGCTGGGGAGTTGAACTGAGCTCGGCGTGCACATCGAGGCTGGGGAGTTTACCTGAGCTCCGTGTGAGGCGTTTGTTATCTGCGCTACGGGCGGTGCGTTGCTTGGTTTATTCAGATTATGGTAAGGGCGTGATGCTTGTACCTGGGTGCAGAAACAGACTGTTATGCGAGATGTCTGGGCCGCAGGTGTTAAATGTGTGTTATCTGCAAACATCGCACGCCAGTGTGACGTAGAAGGAAAGCTACGTGAGGCGCGTGCGCGCGCGCGCGTGTATGTGTCTGTGTGTTTGTGTATGTTTCGGTCCGACGTCACTTTGCTTAATACTACTGATCGCAAGCTGGCCTAGCCGTCCACTGTCTGGCCAGTCTCGAGTGGGGCACGCCCGAAAGCCTCACGCGCCGAACCAATAAGCAGACAAATCGCAATGGCTATTTATTGGACGATCTACTATGGTGTCAACATGGAGAGGACAGCCAGAACTCGAGGAGAATGCACCAGCTGCGGCCGTGCCATCCCGTCTAGGCGGATGGCGGTGTGACAGCGAGGAAGCAAGGCGGCGCCGCGGCCGGCCGCCCGCTCACAGGTACCCCGTGGCCGAGCTGACCGGCGAGCCGGGCGCCTCGTCCGAGGTCGACTCGGCCGGGCCGCCGGCCGGCGCCGGCTCGCTCGCGCTCGTCGAGTCGACCAGGCCGTCCTGGCTGGAGGTGACCTCCGTCTCGTCATCGGCGCGCCGCTGGCAGGCGTCGCCGCTGGAGTCGGCCGGCTCGGGGGCGTCACCTGGCGGCGCAGGCGGCGTGCCCCGTCAGTGAGCTGTGTCGGCGCGCCCCGTCAGTGAGCTGTGTCGGCGCGCCCCGTCAGCGGGCTGCGTCGGCGCACCCCGTCAGTGGGCTGCGTCGGCGCGCCCCGTCAGTCAGCTGTGACGGCGCGCCCCGTCAGTGAGCTGTGTCGGCGCGCCCCGTCAGCGGGCTGCGTCGGCGCACCCCGTCAGTGGGCTGCGTCGGCGCGCCCCGTCAGTGAGCTGTGACGGCGCGCCCCGTCAGTGAGCTGTGTCGGAGCGCCCCGCCAGTAAGCTGTGTCGGCGCGCCCCGTCAGTAAGCTGTGTCGGCGCGCCCCGCCCCGGCACAGCGCACGGCCACGGCAACTGGCCGCACGCAACACTCGTCACTGAGACAGATCTGCGCCGGCTGCGGGGTACACTAGCACGCGCATATCAAGACAGGAATGGCTACAGACACAGCCTGATACAGCGTCTACTGGTGCAGAAAGAACGAAGGCGGTCGGCGGTACACCGAGCACTACCGGAGGGATGGACGGTACGCTCATCACTACCGGAGAGGTGGACGGTACACTGAGCGCTACCAGAGGGGCGTGCGGTACACTGAGCACTACCGGAGGGGTGGACGGTACAACGAGCGCTGCCGGAGAGGTGGACGGTACACTGAGCACTACCACAGGGGCGTGCGGTACACTGAGCACTACGGGGGGGGGGGGGCGGGAGCAGGGGGACGGTACACTCACCACTGCCGGACGGTGCAGGGGGGTCGGTGGCACGCGCCTGCAGCGCTCGACAGAGCCGCTCCAGGGTCTCCGATGCGCCGCCGCTGGGCCAGCAGCTGCTGTCGTCGGCCTGTTTCTGCTCGGCCTCGGGAGGAGGAGGTGAGTGCGGTTGCTCCCTCCCAGCGCTGCCGCCACGTACCGTCTCCTTCTCCAGCCGGCGGATGTTCTTCTGCATCTGAGGTGGGCCGGTTGACGCGACCGCGGTCAGAGCGGCGGAAAGTAATGGGCACACAGAAGGGCAGACAAAGTGGAAACGAGGGACCGGAGAACGGAGATCTTCTTTTACCGTTTGTCCCGCCTGTATTGAAGTAAGTAGTTATGGAGTGAATGATAAAAACAGGGACATAAAGAAAAAATATGGTTGAAAACCAGTACAAATACTAGGTCATCCTTACCACGAACACAAATTAACTATAAAGCTATGAAGTAAAATATCGCGTAACGCCTAACATAAAATAACCGAAGAAAATTACCAAATACATGCTGAACGTTCAACGCTTTACCCACACAAGCCCTATGAACAGTAATATCCACCCAAATTTCATTGCAAGACAAGGTGGGATTAATCGGAGACTTAGGTTATTTGATGCTGAAAAAACATTTGGCACTCTTGCCAGTTCACGCAGCAACATGACACACCACAACGTTGACAAAAACCACAGCTTATTACAGTCCATCTAAAAGAAAGCATGACAGTTATGTCGCTGATATATGATTGCGCACTCAAGGAAAACCGGTGAATAAGTGATTCATTAGTTGAAGCTTCTCTTATAACGGTCGCGCATAAGATACGCTAACCACAGTAATCACAGCACGCGTCCCAGCTAGGGCCGCCGGTGGGGGCCGACGTCCCCCACACGGCGGAGAGTCGCCCTACCGAGCCACCGAGCCGCGCAGCACGAGCGTGGTCGCCGGCGGCGGAGGCCACCGGCTGGCCTCAGGGGGACCGGGCCGGGCCGCTCCGGACATCAGGCTGGCCGCGACAGCACACGCTGGTACTGAGACGCCGTGATATACACGGCTGACACCGAGGTGCTCGGAGAAGACAGGACAGTCACGCATTGACACCGAGTCAGGCCAGCGACGACACCGAGTTACTACTCGGAGATCAGGACAGCCGCACACTGACACCGGGGGACCCGGACTGACACCAGGCCAGACCCGCGTTGACACCGGGTTAGACTGGGCCTGACATCACGCCAGACCCGCGCTGACACCGAGCCAGTTCCGCACTGACACCGGACCAGACCTGGACTGACTCCGGAACGATCACAGGCTGACGCTAGGACGATCACGCAGTCGACAGTGACAGCTGACATCGACACACTCCACTGCGTCTACGCCTGCAGGCCTTCACCGAGCAACCGGGAGAGTGGCATACAGGCCGCGGGACACAGGAACGGTCGCACGCTCACACCTG